GAAATCACAGGGACAAGAAAGTTTTACGGCGATTTGTTTTGTAAGGGTAATTTTATTATTGAAAGGAGAATCTACTCGAATTTCAGAGGTTAAAACTCTGCTTGAGTTCTACGTAGTGATGGGCATTGCGCGTGATGTGGGGATTCAGAAAAATCCTGTGCGGGATATATTAGGCCACGCAAAGTTAAATTTTCGTTTTGCATTACCCGCCGACCGAAATTTTTCAAAAACCCCAAAATTTTTTTTTTAGTCCCAATTCTTTTAAAACAAGTATAAAAATGTTTATTTTAATGGTATTAATGAATATAATTCAAAAAACCTTATATTGGTTATCATAAATTAGTAGGCATTAAAATAAGTAAATAGATGGAAGGATATTGAAACATTTTGGGATTGCATATATATATGACAGGCAGGAATTTTCGGAGGTACGATAATAATCTGGTGGGTTTGCTATGATGACTTATTGTTATGAATGTTTGTACCTGCGCCTAGTGATAGGACCTCTTGAACTAATAACGATAATAATTTAATGTAGTAATTATAAATTATTAATAGTTAATAATTTTAGTAACTTTTTAAAACTCAAGTCCAGTGCTTAAAGTAATAATAATTATAATGATGTATATAAAGATCACTGGTTAAGTTCCTGGTTTTTAGTGCCTAGTATTCATCTATTTCTGGTTTGGCATGTACGTATATTATTATAATTATTATAATGCTATAGTATTACGGTATTGCATTATTACAATATCTGCGATATTACAACATTACGACATTACGGCATTGCTGCATTATAGCATTACAGCATTGCAGCACATAATATTTACAGCAGTTGAGCTCTGTGCCGTAATTAATTCTACCATATAGTAGATATCTATAGAACATATTCATAGAACATATGGGTCTTTGCCTTGAAAATGACCTTATAGTACATGATACCGTAAGGTCATTTTCAAGGCAAAAACCCCATATATGCATTCAGTCTATAGTCAATTTTGATTTGTACTTGCAAGTTTAAAGATATTTACCAAACAAGAGTAAACTACTTAATCATGGGAGTTTGTTGAAAGCTAAATTTCTATACGTAACAATATACAGTATATCCCAAATTAGATAAGTGCAAATACATTTTTAGAAAAATGTAATGTAACGTAATTACTAATCATAAACAAGTATTTTATCTACATGATAATTAAAATATTCATATGTACGTATGTACGTACTTACTCAAGTCATATACATTAAAAAAAAAAAAAATCTGACCGCCGACTGGAGTTTTGAGATACCATGTAATGCAAAATGAAAAATTTACTTTGTGTGGCCTTAATTTAATTTATTTTATTTTATTTTATTTTATTTTTAAATTAATTTAACTTAACTTAATAATTTATTTTAATTTAATTTATTTTAAATTATTTTTATTTTATATAGTGCATACCGTAAAATCTCGAAATAACGCGCAGGGGTGAAATTATAATTTTTGGCCCGAATTAAGCTTAATTCGGGCCAATATTCGAAATAACGCCCATGCCCACTATTTCGAGATTTTACGGTAGGGAGTTATTTCTAATTTCGGCCTGAATTAAGCTTAATTTAGGCCGAAATTCGAAACCACACCACATCGCGTTGTTTCGTGGTTATACGGATTTTTTTAATTTTTACTTTTCTATATGTTCATTTTACCGGGGGACGCCAAAGGGGAGGGGGAGGGGTGATGTTAACCGAAAAATTAACTTCAAGCGGCCTAAGATGAATATGTATTAATTGATAAAGCTTATTACGTAAATATGACATTTTTATTAATAAAAAATATTGAAATGAATGTGTCATTTAGATCAACAAACTTTTTACAACAAACGTCCTTTTATTTTATACCTGTCTTGAAAATTTTACAATCGATTAAATTTTCAAAAATACCACACAAGTAATATTGCCATGGATCATCACATTCAGCAACGAATTATTATTTTACTTCTCGCATTAAACGTTTTTATGAACGATTAAAAAAATCAAGAGGCTCAAAAAACAATAGCCGATACTTATCATCTCCTAGCTTTTACCAATATGGCAACAAGTTCAACTACGTCTTTGACAAAAAAAAAATTATTATTAAATTATTATATTTCTAACTAAATAAATATGCGAATAACACCTCTTTGTATTCAACAGCAGCTTTATTTACAATAATGGTTTCATGAAAAATGGAGAGGCGGGATATTGTTGTTGGAATAACATATTATAATCGGAGAAGTTTTTATTTTTCGCTTTTTTATTTTTCATATTTTTTATTTTTTATTTTTGACGAATAATAAAAGAATCGCTCAAATATTGATTGCAATTATATTAATGAGTACCATTACGATCACTAATTAATCACATCGAAGATGATGCTTGAGAAAATTTCAATTACATCATAAATTACATATTCGATTCTCAATAAAAATTTTATGTAAATATAATTTTGCTTGAATGCCATTGCGAATGACGCTTGAGAACACCACGCCTCTTTCGTACCTGCCACTATTAGGGTTCGATAGAGTTTAGCTGTTGTAGTGTTGAGTTGGATTAGATTGGTCTTAGTTGATATCCGTGAGGCCCATATTTTGAGTTTCCGGATCGATTTACCCATTATACATAGTAAACGCATAAAAAGTCCGCGACCACGTGACTTTAAACCAATTACGACACGGGATCAGGTGTAACTTGAAAACAAAACAAGCTGGCCTTTTCCCATAACTTAAAATTTTGATTATAAAACCACCCACCGTTTCTTAACAAAAAAATTCCTTGCAAAATTTTGCTATATACGTATAAGCCTCCTCTAACCCTAACCCGAATGCTCACCCTTAACCTAACGTCAAGAGTTAATTTATTGTTCGAAAAATGCATTGTGATCTGCGGTTTAGAGAATGGCAGAAATTAATAATCATAGTAATATGAGTAATTCCAGTTATAAGGCCTATTGTATCATGTAATAATAGATAGTAAATAATTATAAATAAAGGCCTTCTCAGCCCTTCAGGAAGGATAGCTTTCACTTTACCCAATAATAAAGTATTGAAGTCACATATATTATAAACAATTATAAACACATTCGTTCATTACCACTCGTCAAATCTAACACGCTTCTTTCATCCCGAATCCTGTTGGTCGACCCAATTACTGTGGAATGATTGGCCAACTGATTCTCATTTTACAACGTATGTCATTAAAATTAAAAAATGCGTCAATTAATTATTATTAACATAAATTAAGAAATGACGCATAACAAATATACGGATACAGCCATGCTCCCAATTTTTCCAAGAACATTTAAAAGGAATAAAATAGGATTACTAATAAAAGTTATGCTCTAGTACTCAGTACAATCAAACTAAAATTTGACAGTCAAATACTTAGTCAAGTCGGATATTAAATGGTCGCAGATCAAATTGGTTATGTATACACATTTCAGTCAAGGGAAAACGTGACATTGATTTATTATTGATTATTTATTAAATAAATGAAAACTAATGCCCATTTTCTCTTGGCATCACTTATATATACCAGGTAACTGAATTGATCCATGATCATTTCATATTCAATTTAATCAAGTATTTAACTATCAAATTTTTGTCAATTGTGCTGAGTACTATTATGTTCACAAACTGAGCATAAATTTATAATATATTTCCAGTTAAAATAATTATTTATAAATAAATATTATTTGATTTTATTTTATATTAATCTACATTTAAATTTTATAAGAAAAAATAAAACTTTTATTATTAAAAACACTAAAATTTTGAATTTATTTTATATTCACCAGCCTAAAAATATTTAGGTTAGGATGCAGTTTTAGGATAAAAGGGGTTTATATAACATTAGATATAAGATTCCAATTTTAGTTCTCGTGAGGGTTTCCGGGGACCTGAACATTTTACTTAGATACCCTAACTTTAATTACTTAGTACGTTTTTTAGATATAGCACCCCGGGAATTTCACCTCTAGTGAGTATTAATATAGTTCTAAAATTTTTTAAGGCCATAAATTTAAAAAAATTTTATGTTACCAGAAAACAAAAAAGAATTTTCAGATATTTTTCACTAGTCATATGGATAAACTGACAACTTATAGAAACACTATTTTATATATAATAATAATAGTAATAATAGTGTGGGCTGATCCTGAAATTTTTAGGTCTCTATTTAGATCTATAAACCAATAAAACCCACATATAAACTTGAATTAATAAACCCTAACCTAAACTCTAAACTAGCTATTATACAAAGGCTAAAAAATGCATATCAAAAACTTTTAAAATTTAATATATAATAAAATAGTCGAAATTTCAGTATTAGTTCTACAATATAATGTAGTATAAACTACAAATTTTTATTTATAAAATAAAGCTATATAAAGATTAATGTATGCAATATAGAAATATTGTAGTTATTAAATTAATAACTAAATCAATAAAAATAAATAAATAAATAAAACTTTATCACTATTACAGAAAAAATTTACTACACAAACAATAAATATCGTATTTGCGCGTAATGCTGTAACGCACATGGGAGTTATTTCGAAACTCCCATATTTTTAAATTTTGGTTTTTTGACTCAAAATAACGTCCATGCACGTCCCAAAATAACATGCCCCCCTTAAATAAACCGTATTATATATCCGATCGAATTTTTAAGGCAATCTCATTAATAAAAGTAGGACCTCCTCTTGTAACCCAAATTTGTCAAATGTTTCGAATTACCGCGCTGTGAGTCCCAAAATAACGCGCAGGGTCTTGAAATAACGTGCACCAGGGCGTTGTTACGCGCAAATACGGTAAATAAAATATTAATACTGTATATAGAAATTTTATAGACAGATAAACTAAGTTTTTTTTGCACTACAATATATATATAACTCTATTTTAACATCATACTGATTAATAAAAAAAACTGAATTTTGATCTTGAAATTAGTCTTTAAAGAGTACAGTATATAGCAACACTTACTAGTTATTCAGGCATAACAAAATATGCAATTTTTTCAGAATGAATAAGTGGTTTATTTGGTATCCTATAAAAATTTTTTTCGGAGCTGATATTTATAAATCCATGATTTTCACAATCTTCGAAAAGTTGATTTACCAAAACCAATGCTTCTTTTTTCTTGTATATATCATTAGTGCTATATAGTATATGCGGATGAATTTCACTCTCTTTCCAGTTAATATCAATTTGTCCAGCTGGATATTTTTTATTAGATTCACTTATATCGACAAAACTATTAATAAATATAATACAGTTATTTAACAATACAAAAAGATTAACGTATTGGAAATTCAAATTATTTACCACATAAACAATTTTAGCCTTTGAAAGAGCAACATCTTCAACATCCTTACTTTCATCTTTAAGGTCATATGCAAATATGCATGCTGAATGGCTCGATGAAATGATATGTGTACCAATAACAATGGTCAAGTATGCATGTACATAATATGCAAGACTCTTCTGAACTTAAAGTTGCATCATATTTCGGAATATCCACCTTAAATTTTTTACCTATTTTATAAGCAAAGTGTTCGCTACTTCTGAGAGAAGCAGTTTGGTTGAAATCAAAATAGTTAGGTTGTCCAATAATGATCCAATTTATTTTCGCTCGATGTTTTTTGTTTTTAGACCTTGTAATAAGGTGAACTACAACTTGCGGAGTGTGAATATTTATATAATCTACTCGCAATGAAAAAATATCACCATCTTCATCTTCTGTTCTTATTGAAGCAAAGATACGGCAGTTATGAATATCTGTTATTTTATCTAATTCTGCAATCTCATTAGCTAGTGGATAAACATATGGGATGTTCTTTGAAAAGTCATAATTTGGATCTATTTCTTTGACACCAGCTATTATTTTATAAATATGATAAGTGACAAGTAAATATTAAAATAAGTAACGAAATTAGAAAGAAGGTACCTTTTAAAATTCGATGGCCTAGCACGTCTAAAACTTTTATTTTCAATTCATCATCCAGTAAGTCAAATATTGGATGAATGTCATTATACTCTATGATCTTCCAATTTTTAAGATCATTTAATTATTCTATTAATGACGGAATACTATTATCACTGAGATTTCCACAAATAACCTTGCTTTCTGTTTTGATTGATAAAAAATTTGGATATTGTTAAATTCTAAGAACTATTATATTTGACTAAGTAGTTTTTATTGTGAATAAGTCACATACTTGAATTTTCAGTTACTATAGCACCTCCAAAAACAATATGGCGCGCATAAAAATAATCATATTTGTCTACTATTTTTCGAAGATTTTTTATTTTATCATAAGCACTTCCATGTGAATCCAGTATATTTTCAATACCCTCTTTAAAATTCTTATTCAAAATGATATATTTTTTTGAAATGAAAATTTCAGCCTTCTCTACCTTCTTAAAATTAATTGTAGAATTTTTGAGAGATTTTTTCGGTATTTTGAGTAAATCAGAAAGCCAAGGAAAAATAGTGGAAATATCGTTATAAGTTACAAGGCTTCTATTGCACACAACATCAAATTCATGTTCATATTGTTTAGTTTCTTCAAAATTACGCTGAGATATAACAGTTTTAACTTTATTTTCATCAAGTTTGAATGCGATTTCAGGTGCATTTTCAACATTGAATGCATGTTCTGTGTTTTCAACTTGGTCTTTTCTCATTACAAATCCATGCCTGGACATATTAACTAACTGTGTCGAGATAGCCATATTTTGAAGAGTCTCAAGAACCAAAATGATATCTGGTCGTTTATCAGGATCTATATCCTAACACTGTTCATAGAGCTCAGCATATTTTTCTGGCGTTTTTTCTACAAATTTTTCTATCACAAATATTAATCAAAAGTCTTATAGCGCTATTTTCACCTTTATAGTCTGGAAAAGGCTCTCGACAGCTGGAAATCATCCAAAAAACAACTCCAAGGCTATAAATGTCAGATTATTTAGAAAGTTTACACGGTACGGCCAAAATACTGTTGGGATCAATGAATGCAGCAACTCCATGAATGGCTGAAGTTTTTGTAGAATTTTCTTCAGTATATTTGGATAATCCAAAATCTGCGATCATGATTTGTTCTTTATGAATTAAAATGTTCTTGGGATGCTAATTGTTATACGATTAAGTTTATGATTACTAACAAGTCTAATAAAGGTCACGCCTAAATTTACCCATTATAGTGCATTGAAATAATTATAGCTGTTTTCAAAAAATGGAAAATGATTTCCAAATCAATTCTATGTAAAGAGCAAATCTTGAAAATTGGAAATATCGTAAATTTTCCAGAGTATGATATTATGTATCTTTTTATATTTTTGAAAACGGCAATAATAATTATTGCGTTTTACAAAAAGATATGACCATTGCGGATTCACGATCTATGTGAAATTTGAAAATTCTGTATATTTTAAAATTTTATCATTTTAAATAAATATAAATATAATAGATCGAAAATAAAATCACCTCGATAACCATCATGGGATCACATCATTTTTTTTGCAATACACTATTACTCTCAATCACTAAATTACAACTGTTTTCAAAAATGTGTGAATAACGATTCCCGTGAATCGGAATAAAAATTAGAAATCTGATTAGGGAGAGTCTTTAAAACTCTGAAAGCCTAGGGAACTTCCTGAAAACATTATAAGATTCACGAGTATCCCTTAAACCGTCAGGTTTAGCAGCCAAATATGGCCGCTAAAATTTATAAACAGTTGCATTGATTTAATTTTATTAAATATTAAAATATTTAAAAAAAATTTTACATAATAATATTTGAAAATAAGGATTACAAAATAGTAA